TGGCAATGGTGGGTTAGGAGCGCCACAGTCTGACCCTTACAAGTAAAAATTCAACCACCCACTGTTGATTGCCAGCCGACGAAGCGGATCTGTTCCCGTTGTTTACAAAACTTTCAAGGTACAATAGGCGGAAAAGAGGGGTACAGTTATGTTCTACAATAATCATTCCAAAAACGAACCTTGAAATGATTACATACGATATGGAAATCTCACCGGTACCCCCCTGATTCATAAACATCAAGCTCATTTCGTAGCTCAATTGACCGTATTCGCGCTCCTGAGTAGCCGACTAAAACCCAGAAATCAGCCGACCTAGTGTCGTCGATGTCAACAGTCGGGGGGTTCCGACGCTCAAAGGACTGTAATACAGAAACTCTGCCGTGCCTGCCCCTTCCTTAGTATGAGCGCAACCCCAGGTATAAGTAAAGATATAAAGGAAGCCTCAGTAATATTTGGCTCATTTTTTTTTTGGGATGGCATCCCAGGGTGTGTTGAGGTATAAGGTCAATTCTACGGCTGGTTCGTGCTTCCCCGACAGTGTTCATGCTTTTTGTTTTGAGCAAAATGTTATGAAAGAAAACACTACCTAAAAACCATACACAAAAGGACATACCATAAAGGTGGGTCCAAAGATTGGAATGTCGTTATCTGGAATAAGAGACTCTTGGCTCGCCGATCTGGGGTGGGGAGAAACGAGGAACCTAGGGCCGGCACCATGTACCAAAGGTGTAGGGCCGTCCCGAGGAATCAGAAGGAAAGGAGATTTTGCCTCTGATAATAGTACAGGACTAAGAAAAGAGCGAAATTGAGTGCGCATAGCTGGAAAGCGCGGCATGTAACCCGAGGCTGACACGTTCTTCATTCAAGAAAATGTTAAGAGAACAAAGGAGACAAGGTTGCTTGAATACAACAGTGCATCATGAAATATGTGTTACCGTAACAGAATTCCCTGATATTCAAGTAGTAAGACTTATAGAAAACGGACTATTGAATATAATGTGTTATTGTAAACATTACCTGAACGTTTATTACTGATCAGAATTTCTCTCTCGTTTCGGAATAACATTCATCTCTAAAACAACGTCATATACGGGTGAGCTACTGGGCACGTATCCTGTTCTTGCTGACAGCGTTCGAGGATCCGAAAAAGGATCAGGTGTAAGTAAAGGTTTGAGGGGTCCCCCATGGGGAAGTGTATTGTTTTCTGTTTGGGATACGCAAGCTAGTGTATGGTCCATTGTGGGAACCTTTGAATTGCCAGAGGGGTCCAGAGTAGCATTGGCACGCAGTATAACATCCCTATTATCTTTTCCTTCCAGATCGTACCACTTTCCATGAGAGTGCGCTTTCTGTTGATGTGAGAGCCATCCGCGGCGGATACAAATGAAAGCTATTACAGCTGCGATGAAGAGAGTGCAGGCACCGACAATACCTCCTACAATTGCGCCTTTGTTGGACTGAAATTTTATAGGGGCAGACGTCTCAGAAGGCGGAGATGTCGACATAGACCAGGTGGGGAATACAGTAAGAGAATTTGGTGCTGGCCTGAGAGTAAAGATATCGAATGCGACCCCAACAGACGTCCCGGATCGTGTTAGATATGTTATGGTTGATACAACAGGTCCTATACGGGAAGGACTCGATGTGACTGTGAATAAATCGTCGGTAACCGTCCCTAGCCTTGGTACTGATGAGGTTATGGTCGTGGCAGAAGTCATTTTGCACTGAGTGGTAGATATGAGAGGGTTTTCTTCTTGGAAATACTCGATTATTTGAATAAATATCTAATGCTAGTGAGACTGCAGGATAAAAAAAACACATGATAACGATGGCATGGCGGATGTAGGGAAACAGAAGAAATAACGGGTATTTCGCCAAGATTTTTTTACACGATCACAACATTCATCGATATCTATTCGAATTCCTTAATACGCATATTGTTGTTGGCATAAATTCCTCATATTGTCACGGTCTCACTCCAGTACAGACGCGACCACGTGATCATTGTCAGTATATTCGAATATGTACTAAAGCCGTTTTCTTACTGCACATAAGATACTACTGGCCAGCAACGGCATCGGGGAAGGAGGAAAGCGATGCCATACTCTGTTACCGTAATTATTCGCCCTCTTCTAGACGAACTTCTCTAGTGTTCTTCTATAAGTCTGACAGTGGACCCATACATTCAACCTTCCGAACAAGAATGGTACCAATGGGACTGGTCTAAGCCTAGAAACGGGCTCAGCCACAACAACCTTCAAATAGCCCCGTCTACTCTGCTCGGACACCCTCGTTTCACCTCTCTACATTCCTTCAACCCCCGATGAAACTCTTCAGCCGTCACACCGTTTGCGTGCTTGGTGTAGTCCTCACCCGGGGAGCGTTGACCCAAGCATATCGTATCAAAGACTCTTATGTTGGCCAAGATTTCTATAACTCATGGACTTGGGAAACCTTTGATGACCCAACGCACGGGCGCGTCGATTATGTCGACAAATGGACCTCTATGAATTCAAATCTATCTTATGGTATGTCACTTGTAGTTGTAAGCTTCTACCACACCCGCCCATCTGACTCTCTTACTTCTTTCACCTGCTGTCAGCTACTGACAAAAAATTTATTATGCGTGTCGACGCAACTAATATCGTATCCCCCAGCTCCCGTGGCCGAGCCAGTGTCCGCATCATTTCCGACGCCGTTTACAGTGACTCGGTGACGGTCCTCGAATTGACTCACATGCCAGAGGGATGTGGTACGTGGCCCGCCTTCTGGTCTTTGAGTGCGCGGGGTCCCTGGCCGAAAGGCGGGGAGATTGACATAATCGAAGGTGTGTATTCGTGGGCCTACGCTTCGCTGTTCTAACGCATCTTCCTTCACAGGAGTGAATAAAAATATCCGGAATTTAGCTTCTTTGCACACCGCTCCAGGATGTACTATGAAACCGTTTCGCGACCAAAGCGGGTGATGTCCATCTCCTAGCCAAAATCCTGGACTTTTCTTATTTTATCCTTTCCTTAGGATGACCGTATCTACCGACTGCGATACCTCTGTGAACTATAACCAAGGTTGTGGATCATCTTTTATCAAACCATTCTCCTACGGAGCCGCATTCAATATGGCAGGCGGTGGCTGGTATGTGATGGAGAGGAGTCGTAATAAAGGGATTAGTGTGTGGTTTTGGTCCCGCGGTGATTATTCCGTCCCGTGGGCCATCAGAAATGGTTCCACAGAATTTATGGTCAACCCGTCTTGGGGATTGCCTGACGCGCATTTTTCTATTGAATCGTGCGACTATAACTCCATGTTTGATGCCCACAGGATGGTTTTTGATACTACTTTCTGTGTGAGCTCAATCAGGAGAGTAAAGACAATCTATATTCTAATCCCGCTTTCTGTAGGGTGACTGGGCTGGTGCCGACTGGCCTAATTCGGAGTGCGGATCTGGGACTTGTAATGATTGTGAGCCTTTCTCGTTTATTCTGAGCGTAATTTAATTGGTCCGCAGTTGTGAACAATAACCCTAGGGCCTTCAAGAAAACATATTGGGAAATCGACTCATTACGCGTTTATACTTAATTGTCTTTTACCAGGACTAGGTTTTCTTTCCCATATTTGAGATTAATTCAAAATCTTGACAAGTGGCTATAATGACGAGTTCGCGTTCACTCGCTTCTTGTCTTGTTCTTTCTGCCGATATCTTAAATATAATATATTATATGACTGTAATATTTGATAAAACTCGACCCACCTGCTGATCCTAGACCCATGATCCTCTGCTGTTATTATGTCTGTCGGATTGTCTGCCTAATGTACGGTATGTCAAAGGTCTTGAACTATATGGATATATCACTCCATATTTCTGTTGAATAACGCTCATCTACTTAAATAGGTCGGGTCATTTAGCAGCTGCCCTCCAGCCAATCCTCATTGGCCTAAATGGCACCAGCATCGGCGCTCTCACGAAGGCTTCCCTGTCAAACCTCAAGGAATTATAATAGCAATCCCATCCCACGTCATTGGCCTACCCTTTATATAAGGGCATGATGCTTTGTTCCGATAGAGACCATGGCCACACAGTCCCTTTTGTTGCTTTGGCTTGTAGGTTTCCTTAGCTTAATTGCTACCTCATTGGGTGTAACGCTGCCCCTACCTGAACTAGCCAGTCGAGACGACAATCTCCCTGCACGTGTACCGTATGTTTTCCCAGCTCCTGGCACGAATGCGGTAATTTGGGGTGTGGTGTTGTTTGAGCTACTTGGCTAATTTTCCTAGATTGCAGATGCTATCAGAGCAAGACGAACGGACGGAGTACTGCTAGCTCTAGATGGGGCGCTGTTAGTGCGACTGAGAATGGGATGATTATTGCTAACATTACATGTAGCCTTAACGCTCCCTTAGTGGCATCAGCATGGAACGATATTTTCACGGTAATCCGGAATAACAACACCATCCCTGGTACTATGCGGGAGTTATTCGTGAGATCATCACAGCGCCCACTCATCCTGTGACCTAATGTCTGCGTTGTAGATTTTACGGATTGCAGTATTGAATGATGCCTCGTATGAATGGAAAGTCCTCTCCCATATTGTCAAATTGTATAATTTTCATCCCGACTCCACAGGATCCAGCATGAATCCGTTGGTAGAGCCGAAGGTCTCACCACGAAACAACTCATTGCGATTCGTCGGACTCCAGCATTTGTTGAGAGTAAAGACCTAGCAGATACCTTGGGGCCGTCACTCGCGGCAGCGATGGCGTTTGCTGACTGGATCACGAAGTCTGTACACGTTCCAGACAGGATATTTGCGAACCTACAGAAGCATCTTAATGATCAGCAATTGGTTGAGGCTACTGCGACGACGGGAGGATATAATTTTGTCAGTCGATTTGTTGTAGCTTTGGACGTAGATGGGAAGATGAATGTTCCTGTGCCTATTCCAAAGTGACTGTAAAACAATACGCATGTTTACCTGTTAATTCAAAGGGAATTAGTGGTCACAGCATTAATGGGGTAGTGGTAACCTGGGTCGTTGCCATTCGCATTGTTTCGACCCGCCGGGAGTTCGATTCTCTCTTAATGCAACCAATTTTATATTTTTTGTTTCGATTTTAATTGTTTTCAGCAGTATTTATGTTCAATTGATAAACTGATAATTCCCGAGTGTCAAAAAATATGTTTCTACGTACATACATGTTATACAATTTAAGTTACACAAAGGATAAGAAGGGGGAAAGTGATTGTATATGTAATAGTTAGTTTTGCGGAATACATCCGTTTAACCAATAAAAACAGCAAATATCCTCCGATAAATCACCATAGGTATATATATATATATATATATATTAGCCAGCCTATAATCCCATAGTAGATCCAATGGATCGCGCGACTGATGCACCACGAGGAGCTGGGGAACCATGTATAGAGGGTGCGAGAGAGCTAAAGCGGGAGGACGGAACTGAGCTCAAGCGTGAGGGCGCGACGGACCCAGGTCGTGACGGAGCGATAGATCCATGTCGTTGTTGCTCCCAAAGCCTACCCTTGGCACGAATTTCGATATTCTCAAATGGTGCAGGTTGCGAAAGCCTGATGCAATCCCGTGTTCCGAGAACGAGCAACTCGAAGAAAAAGGACGCAGCAGCGCGGCGGGATGCCTGAGATCAATGTCATCAACATAAGGTCCTATCAATGGATTAAGATAAAAAACGAACCTTGTCAGACATCTTCCTGAAGCTGAGGGCCTTCTCTTGGTCCTCCTGGCCAGCAACTGGCTGTAGATCTTTCCTAATAATACCAAGAGCTTTCACGGTGTTCTTGCTGTACCCTTTCCCTTCGTTATCCATCTGTGTTTCAGCCTCTCTTTCTGGTCCTTGCGATTGTGTCTGGGTCACAGGTCGAATATCGAACATGGCGATTGGGCATGCAGCATCTGCGTAAGTCTCGTCGCCTTCTTCAAGAATTGCCCCATCCGGGCCTGGAGTAGATAGCCGACTTAACGTAGAAGGGACAGTTGACTTAGACCTCTCTCGCCCCATGTCTAAGTCTCCACCCAATCCAATGTCAAATCTAGGTACTTCCAACTGGAAATCATCCAGTCCAGCAGTTTGATCACCGAAATCTATGATGCCGTCGGGCCCTAGGCTACCCCGACCCATTATATCACTATGAATACCAAGGCTGGGGGCGAGGCTGGCTGCCCGTCGGCCCTGTTCAATCTCATCTTCATGCACACTACCGTCAAGACGAGGGCGTTTGTTGGGATTCTGCTCCGGAGATTGACCACGTCGCTTGTGTGAGAAGCTGCTGTTGACAGGGCGCATGAATAGTTCTGCCAATTCTGGAGATAGACCGGGGGGTGCAGCGCAAAAGAACACTCCGTCAGGAGTAGATTTCGTGGGTAGGAAATGTGCCAAGGGATCATCACGGACTACCAGCAACCGCATGATAACAGATGAGCGGGGCAAAAACTGCTGCTCAGTGAGAATACCGCTGACATCTTTAGTTACTGGGGCACCCAGTGCTCCACCCCGACCGCGGCCTACTTTCGCACCGGGCCCATCTTGTAATTCTGTTATCGAATCTATGATTTGTTTCTTCTCCTTGAGTTTGCGTTTGGCTTTGGTAGCTTCAGGAGGCGGGGGGGCTTCTGCAACAAGGGGTTCGTCGGGGGCGGGAGTAAGAGGGGGTTCAGAAAGTGGAGAAGCTGTGTTGATCAGGTTTGAATGTGGCGGTTATATATTTGGATGGGATGACACTCACAGGCACGGGAGGAAGACCTCGTTTGTCCTGGTGTTTTTTCCACCTCCAGGGGCATATCATCAAACCCAATCCCAAAATCGCCTAAGTCCATACCGGCGAGATCAGGAAAGTCCATGTCGACATCAGCACCGAAGGGGTGCTCTGAAGGGTCGCGACTTTTGCTCCTATTAGATAGGATGTCCAAGTCAATATCCATGCCGTCTCGACCGAGCAAGTGGGAGTCAATAGACTCTCGGCGGTTGGGTGCGTCGCGACCAACTCCAACACTATCGTCAACGCTCATGTGGTCGTCGTTTTCGTTGGGCGTCTTTGCAGGCTCATCATCCCAATTTATCCCCAGATCCACGTCATTGAAATCCTGCGAACCGATACCGTCTGAAGGACCAATGTCAAACGGATCGTTGAAACCAAATTGTTGAAAGTCGTCTGTAGTACGGAGAGTGATATCGTCTATATGTGCTTGGTGATGGCCTACTGGTTGAAGGGGTCTGTCTTCGAAATCCATGTCCCTAAGGAAGATTGTCAGGTGGAAGTTGGGTTGGAAAACGTGAACTTACCAGTTAACATCAGGTAAAAGAAGGTCTAAATCAAGTCCTCCCGCCTGAAGGGTAATCGTATTCTTGTTTACTGTTAACTGATCTTCTGTCATATCGACAATGCCTGGGCGGAACGCCTGGAATTTGAAAAGTTCTTAGAACCGACTGCAATAGCAATGAAAGGCATGGCGCACCATCTTAATTTTCAAAAGGGCTTCATTGCAATCATCCAATAAATATTTAGCTTTCCGGCTGTAGATGCGCACGACACCGAGGAGAAGTTGACCACTAAGACGGAGTGCCATGACTTCAATCTCTTGACCCATGATCGCGTCTGAAATTAAGAATGAGTTTTCGCATTGGAAGTTCATGATAGACCTTGTGCATACCAACGGACTGCTCGATATCTGTTTGCAAGGTCTGTGTCTTGGAGAGCTTGCGCTCCATGTGAGCCGCGAGCCATACTTTACCAAGGGGCCCGCGACGCGAAAGAATAGTTTCAGAGTAAAACTGAAGGATTATAAGTATTGAAAAGGTAATAAAATAAAATGGGTTTACCATGAGGAAGAGGAGTCGCGAGGAAGCGGCGCCCTGAATTGAACGCGACTGTGGCAGAGTCAAGAGCCTGAATCTGGTTCAACCGAAGTGTGAAACAGGCCACGTGCCGGTTGTTGTTATATGTTTGGCTGTACCCTTCCAAAGTTTCTTCTAACAGTCCAGCTTAGGACTGGTAGGGGTATTTCAAGAAATGCTGGCTTCCTCGTCCCGGACTTGTGCGAGACGCGTTCTCCAGTTATGTTCGCCGCATAATGTTGAATCTTCCATTGCGGGTATGTGTACTGTCTCCGCACTCCAGCATACACTGAATCATATTTTAGTCAACTGGTGCCTCCGGCGCGCTTCTGTACTGTCGAGTTCTTCCCAACAAAAAGACGCAGGTCATACTATTACTCGGGATGAAAACTCCCTACCACCAGGCCTTCGCAGCAAGCCCGAATTTAAGTCTGACCCATCACACCAAGTGACCATGAACAAAACAACCCAAGCGCGGCTTGAGATGAAGTTAATACAGGCTTCCGAGCACGGACGGTACTACGAGTCCTTGGCGATCGCGGCGGAAATGAAACAGGCCGGTATGCGACCCCAGCTCTCCACATACACATCCTTGATTCATGCGGCGTCCCGGGATGGGTCTTGGTTGGACGCATGGGCAATATTTGACGATATGATATTGGCTGGTATTAAGCCAAATGTAGGGGTGTTTAATTGGCTAATTCATGTAATGACATATCCTTATCCTTTTAGCTTGACTTGTGCTTACGATAATTTTAGGCGCAGCGCCATAGAGGGTCTCCTTACCTGTTCGAAGTGGTAAATAAGATGAATGAATTGGGTGTAGCACCGACGGCTACAACATTCCATCACATTGTTCAACGTTATGTCCTGGCCGAAAATCTAGAGGTGGCATTGCAGTATTTTTATGCCATGAAAAACCGCAACATTATTCCCGATGTTCGCTCAGCTCAGGCCATTATATCCCTTGCCTCGCAAAAGGGCTACCCAAGGCTCGCTATTGATTTGGCGAGGTGGTTTGAAGAAGTCTCAGTCCGCAGGCTAGACCATACCGTGTGGATGAATATTCTTATAGCGTCGGCGAACTGTCTATATGTAAGTTTGTATATTCCGGAACAGGTTTCATCTAATAATGCCTGTTGTACAAAAGGAAGAAGGTGTTCTATTAAGTTGGAAGATGGCTGTCCAGGAGTTCAAAATTGCACCCGATGAAGGGCTTTGCTCGGTAGTCCTTCACACGGCAGCGCGCCACGGCCTGCCGGACTTAGCCACTGACGTACTGCGCATCTTAAAGGTCATGGGGGCTCCTTGGAAGGAGCACCATTTCGCTCCGCTTGTCGAAGCGTTTTGTCGAGCTGGGCAAATCAAGGAGGCTATAGTAGCACTGGATATCATGCGCACCAACGAAATTGAGGCGAGGATGGAAACCGCATATCCTATAGTGAATATCGAGAAAGGCGTAGAAGCTGTTGATGCTACCTGGGCTATCATTGATGAGCTGCATAAAGGAGGCAAAAATATCGACATTGCCGCCTTCCAAGTCTTGATTCGAGCCTCTGTTTTCTTAAAAGATCTTCAACGTGCTGTGGGTGCATACAAGAGCTTACCGGAGTATGGTGTCTCCCCCGATCTCCCAATTTTCAATCTTCTCTTGCAGGGATGCGTTTCTGCCAGTCATCGCAAGCTAGGAAGCTTGCTGCTAGACGATATGCAAGCAGCGAAAATTAAACCTGACCAGGAGACTTACGTGCAATTTATATTATTATGCTTAACACAAGACACGTATGAAGATGCATTTTTCTACCTGGAGGAGATGAAGACGGCTAGTTTTACACCACCACGATCTGTATACGAGGCTATCATCCAAAAATGCCTAACTGCCAGGGACACACGGTACACCATCGCGATACAGGAGATGAAGGAAACCGGATATGAGTTGTCAGACCGTCTGGCACGCCAACTCGATGATACTACTCGCAAGAACAAACAGGACACTGAGGCTGGAAGGGATAATATGCCCGACAGACTCCCCGACCTAGACCAACAACTCGGACTTGACGGGGCAGCTAAAGCATTCATTGAGACAGGCGGCCTCACTGGTTCAGAGGAAATGGGAAAAGCACCAGGGACATATCCACAGTAATAATAGTTATCGGTGATACATGTACAAGTAATTTTTATTATGATAAATTGAGTTGATTAAACGATTACATAAA